TGTTTTGCAACTTTGAGCTTCAGATTGTGTGGCCAGACTAGGCTTTCGCATCACCTAGCTGAGCGCGACATTAGTGCACAAGTATTTCGTTCGTGCAGCAATATACGAGCATCATGCCAGCGAGCATGATGTAGGGCCAGTCGTGCGACCCGATGCCAAGACAAGTGTGGGGCTCCGGGCCGCACGCCTCCGCGTCTCGCGGCGCCGGCCACAGCTTACTCTTCGCGCGCCTCCTCGCGAACGGGCGTGCGATCCACGACGTAGTCACGCACCGCTAGCGGGCAGCCGCGCGCCGGGGCTGCCGGCGGCGCGCCTCGGCCAGGTTATAGGTGCCCCGCTCCTGTGCGTGCGGTGTCACGCCGCGCGCGCCGAAGCCAGCTGATCGCGGGCAGGTCGTGCGCCGGCAGCACGTGCGTACCTGACACGCCGCGGTGCCGCGGTCGGGTGACGGGCTGTCACGTCGCCGTCGGCGGTGGCCTCCGGGGATCGTCGGCGCTCGGCGCGTGGGTTTGTGCACGCGGCGGCGGCGGCGGCGGCGACGGCGCATGCGGCCGCCGCCGGGGTCGACGCCTGTTGTTGGGCCGGGGGGGGGGGGGGGGGGGCGCGTTGGCGCTGCCGCTGACCCAAATCCTCGTGTTTGGCTTGTGTCGCGTCGTGCCGTGGCGCGCGCGGCGCCAGGGCCGTGCGGCTCAGGTGAAGGATTAGCGCCGCGTTCTGCCGGGGTCTGCAGGCGCGGACCTTCCTCTCTGGCGCCGAGTGACGCTTCAAAGTCGTTTCTTCGAAGGGCGAGAGAGAGAGAGAGAGAGAGAGAGAGAGAGAGAGAGAGAGAGAGAGAGAGAGAGAGAGAGAGAGAGAGAGAGAGAGAGAGAGAGAGAGAGAGAGAGAGAGAGAGGAGAGGAGAGGGAGAGGAGAGGAGAGGAGAGGGAGAGGGAGAGGGAGAGGGAGAGGGAGAGGGAGAGGGAGAGGGAGAGGGAGAGGGAGAGGGAGAGGGAGAGGGAGAGGAGAGGGAGAGGGAGAGGGAGAGGGAGAGGGAGAGAGATGTGACTGGCCGTCTGGCGTAAGGCTGGGCGGCGATGCGCCGTTCGCAGCGCTCGGGAGCCCGGCGCCCTGGTCACGCCCGAGCGCTCCTGGGCGACGTCGCTGCACGTGCGCCGGCGGCAGCACGATTGGCGGCGGTGGTGGCCGGGTGCCGCTATCCTGGGTCAGTGGCCGCCGTCGGGGCCCGGAGGCGCATCACGCCGCGCCGCCTGTCGCCGGCTCGCGCTGCGCTGCAGCACGCCGGCAGGACACAGAAGCGGTTGTGCCACACCTCCTGACCGCCTCCCCGCCGCGCAGCGAGGTGGCTGTGCGCGGTAGTTGGCCCGTGAGGCGTATGTATGTGTGTGTGGGGGGGGGGGGGGGAGGCAGGGGAGTGGACCTATTTTAAGATTTTTAATTGTAAGCGCTCATTGTTAATACATAAATCGCGGACGGCCGCGCCGTGTCGTGACATGGCACGTCAGCAATCACCGGTAGCTACTATTCGGCATACAGCCGGATGAGTGATTATAATTTTTCCCATAGTTCACACCACTTGGTGGCGGGGTTGTTGCCCATCTGACAAGCCATGGGAAGCAAAGAATCTCATTCTGACATCGGTTTAAAGAAATAAGTAGAAAAAGGTCATGCCGGACACAAGTCCGGGAAATCTATTGGAAGTGGCCAGTGTTTGTAGTCGGCGTGGCCCGACGGCGCCGTTGCGCCGGGTGTTGGCAGCACGGCCGGACGCATGCCGCCTCGGTCGGCGGCGCTGCTCGCGCCGGGCGGCTGCGGTGCCGGCCGCCCCTGCCGACTGTGACCAGGAGCGCACCGACCGCTGGCGCGCGCGCCGCGGCGCCGGCCGACGGCGCATCGCCGCCGGCTTTATTTTGGTCTTCTAGCTATTGGCACCCGGCGCACGGCTAATATTTTCGTCCGGTGGCGCGATCGCAGGCCACCCTCTTCCAACACGACGGCCGTCCGGCCGCGAACCCCGCTGACCGCCGCGTCCCTGAGATTGCGCCAGCCGCGGCGTCCTGTCGCCGGCCCCCGCTGCGGCGTCCTCGGCGCCAGCGGCTTCCCCCGAGTCGCGCCACGTCACGTCACGCCCCGTCAGCCGCGTCACGTCGGCGGGAGAGAGGCGCTGGACGCCGCTGCCGATGTTGAGAGGCGCGAGTGGCGCCATCGCCCGGTGACGCCACCGCCCCGTCCTGCACGCCAGTTGCGTGACGCCGTTTTCCTACGCTCGTTGCAGCCTCGTCATTTGCGATTCACTCCGGTTCCCACGGGCGTCCCTGGAAATGTCGACCGTGGCGCGGCTTTTACCAGATTAGCCCAGTTTTCTGCGGCCTATGCGGTGCCTCGCTGGCGACAAGTGCGTGTAGGGTCGTTACACGGCACGCAGCCTCTGATAAGATCGGGTATTGTAACACGTAGGTCAGGGGCCGCTGCGCCTCGCCCTGTTTTCCGGCCCAGAGCCTCGCCGCGGGAACTTGTGCAGCGCCATCGCCCGTCTAATATTCATAACGGCGGCCCCAAAGGCTGGTAGATGCCGTTGTTTCACCTCTGTCGTAACAACCCCCGGATTTTGACACGGCGCTTCTTTGTGATGGAAATGGACGTCGGCGGCCGTCGGCTTCGACCCCGGTGACCTTCGAACGTTTCATTTCTGTCGCTGCCGGATGGCTCACGTGTTTGGCACGGTCAGCCCGCTGCCCGGCTCTGACGTCACGCCCCGCTGTTGCCAAAGGCCCCAGCCCTGACATAACCAGCCTTGGGCCGGCTTGGGTTGTTCAAGGGCGAGGTCGGGTCCGCTGCGGCGGGGCATCCGGCTGAGCTTCGTATCTCGGCGTTTGCGGCAGCGGTGGCCCCCCAGAGAGCGGAAGATCGGGCTTTGGTCAGCGGACGTCGCTGCAAGGCTGAGAGGGCGGCCAACGCTGTCCATGTTTGTGCGCCATGGCGTGATGCGCGGTTTCGTTTGCCAGAGAGGACCTTCCCAAGGTTGTCGCCACACTTGTTGGGTTAGGTGGCAAATCGCGTTCGCCGATTGAAATCATGAGAAATATTGTGCTAGCTTCCGTCACGTGCGTACGTCGTTATTTCAGGGAACTTGTAAGGTAATGTTCCCGGCTTAGAGCAGAGTTCAGTCCAGCGTAGTGGGCCTGTTTCAAAGTGAGCGCCGTGAGCTTCGCAGCTTCCGTCTTCCATCGGGTGCTCCGTTGCGGGGGACCGTCAACAACCGGTGTCGGCCATGTAGCGGCCGATGCCCCGGGTGGCACTCCGCCGACGGCCGGGCGCGGTGTAGGCCCGGCTGGAGCCGCAGGTGCGCCGCCGGACGGCACGCGGCTGCGCGCCGCTCTCCGCCGGCGTCAGGTCACCGCTCCGGGCCGCGGGCGGCGCCAACAGCTGCGGCCTGGGCGCCGGTCGTGGCCGCCCCCCGCGGAGGAGCGGGCGCCGGCCGAGGTCGGCGTTGTCAACGGCGCCGGCCGCTGACCCGAGCGCACCACAAAGCCGCGCGCGTACCGACACCGACACCGACGGCGACAGGTGCGGTGCGTGCCGCCCGCGTGTCACGCGTGCCGCCGAGGACCGGCCGCTGTTGGTGGTGCGAGGCTGGGCGGCGCGCACCGGCGTCTCCGGCGCTCTTTTCAGGCGTCTCCCGCGCTCTCGTCAAGCGTCCCCCGCTCTCTCGTCAAGCGTCTCCCGCGCTCTCGTCAGGCGTCTCACCTGCCCGGGCTGGTGCTCTCGAGCCCGGGTACTCGCTCCCGCTTATCTTCGAGGATGAACGTCTGCATGGCTGTGCCCACAGTCGATACGTGGATTGTTGGCCTCGATCAGATGGCTTTGGCGCTTCTGCAGGTACGGCTGTGCTGCATTTGCATCTGTACTTGGCGTTGCATCTAGATTGGACGATGCCCTCTTCGTCCAGCACTTCAAGTCGTGACCGGGAAGCGATCGATCGCCCAAGAGTGCAACCACTCGAGATAGTGCTCACCTGTCGTTTCACCGGCTGGGGGTTCGTCGTCTCTTCCCAGCGGCCGATGGTGTGGCTGGAGGATACCCGTCTTAGACTGTTCTGGACGGACAGTCGTGGTGTCGCCTGCCATGCTCGCCAAACGGGTTGCGATTGGGAGAGAGAGAATAGAGGGAGAGTGGCGGCATCTGATCAGACCGTCTATATCGGGTTACGCCGCTCAGTTTTGCTCTATAGAGTCGGCGCTACGGCTGGTGCTGGTACGGGGAAGAAGGCGGGCCAATTGCCCGTTTTCGGAGAGACCAGCCGAAGCGCCACCTGTGTTGCCATGTCCTGTATGTTTACCGGCTGAGAGTGAGATGTGTGTGTTTCGCTCTTTCGCCGGTGAGTGTCCCTTGGCTCTATGT